CATAAGTATTAAATGTTAATTTATAACAAATATCCTTTTATTAATTTCTTATAAATTAATTATTATAAATATTTTAATTTTAAAATGATGAAATTATATAAAATTAAGAAGAATTTACTAAACGATTGAATCCACTTATGAGATTTTTAAACACACTCGAAGAAAAATAAAGGAGGGGGAAAAAATATATATATATATATGTATATTTGCCTAACGTTTATTCTTTTGATAAATTTGTAAAATAGAATTCAATAGAATGAATAAAGAATATATTGACACTTTAAATAAACTAAATCTTTTTCCTTAGACAAATATTAATTTACTGTATGTATTTCATTGATCAATACACGTTTATACAGTATCGAGTGCACGATTTTTGTATTACTCTTGCTATTGATTGCTCTTGTCCTGTCTTAAAATGCTTTCTTTTCTTATTAATATGCGTGTTTTTTTTTAAGAAATAAATATACACTTAATTACGAATTAATCGAAATAATGTTTATCAATTTGAAATTTTATTGAAATTAACTGTGGTTTCTGAGATTTAATGGGGGTTTTATGGTGTTTTGTGGTCCCCTACTTGTTACTTTGTAGCGGTTTTCTAGCATTCAGATGTGGCATAAATTTGCTGTATGGTGTGTACGAGTTATATGCACATTCATGCTGAAACATTAAGTTTAAATCTGTAATGTATTGATATATAATAAGCCTTTCTTAACACTATATAAAGTGGTTTGGCTCCTATTTAGGTATTAGAAACTTGAAGAAAACCAGGAAAACACCACGTGGCCAGCTCGTTGGTAGGCGCGAACCCACGATTTCGGTGGTTTTATCACTGGTGGATGTGAAGATGTGTGGCATGAAATTCATCGCCGTATTGTTTTCCGGGTTACTTATGGGTCAATATTGAAGAATTGAATTTGAAACTGTTGTGGTCCGAACCACATATAAGGAGTCAGTCCTAAGTGACATATAAGATGTCCCACTATCAAATACTGCAATAATAAATTTAAAAGAGCCTAAAATGTAGCCACGTTTTGTGAGGTTCCTCTAAATTATAGCTTGTTTTAGCTTATGGTCATGCCCTGGTTGTACCGTTAAAAGCTTTAATAAGTTATTTATATTTTATTTTACTTTCCCGGCTATTGTATAACTTACGAGTAACAGAAGGAAAGTATGGTGATCGGTCATAAAATGACTCCCCAAGATTTTTACATTTTTGGACTCAGGGGTCCTTGAAACGTCGACAAATGCAAAATAAGTTGAGGGTATTTTATACATATATGAATGTTTGTGTGTTAGTGTGTATGTGTGGAGGGGGAAAGCACGATTTTATTCACCCAGTTTGAAGGTTAATAACTCCTGAACCTTTTGTCGAAAATTCCTGAAATTTTGCAGAAAGATTTGTGTATCAGAGTGAAATATTTTTGGAAATTTTCAGGAAAATCGAATCATTGGGAGATATGAGCCCACTCCTTAATATCTCCCGAATCAATCTAAAAGTAATGGTAGCAATTATTAGGAATGAAAACATATTACGAATGCCTGGAAGGTCCAGCAACAACATTGCCAGCTTTTGATAATATTTTTATCACAGAAATATAACAGTTACCGTATTTTATGGTATATAAAACGCGACTCTTGTCCAAAAAAAAAAAATAATAATAAAACATGGCTAAAAATATCTCCCTGCGGCTTATATGTGAAGTTGAGATTTCCCAAAGGCTAACGAATTTCTCAAAAGTGCTTCAGGCTACAGGCTACAAGCAACCTGTACTTAGCCCAATTCTTGAATAAAAGTGTTATTGTTTAATTAAACATATTATTCTTTGCTAAAGCTAAACAACTTTTTATGTGTATTCGTGTAGAGTATTTTAATGGTAAATTTAAACTGTAAATGACTTCTTTTAAACCTTTCCCTGATAAATAAACGATTATAATTTTAAAGTTTTAAAAAAAATCGGGAGAATGGTTTATTAATAAATAATTTTTTCCTAAATAATATCCTTGCTGAAATGGGAGTGCATGTTATAAAATACGTTCATTTGAAACAAAATATCAATTGTCTACAGCATTTTGAATAATGTTAAATATACAGAATGGCTCAAAAGACGTGTTGAAGTTCATAACAGTGATCACAACACGACTTTAGTCTTTATAACAGTTAACTGATTTTTGAGCCACCCTTTATGCAGAACGAAATAGAAATTCCTTTTAACACTTGAGGAGGTAAATGGTTAGATATAAAATTTTCAAATAAATGGCGTGCCGTTTATAAAAAATGCATAAAGTCAGCTCCTTAAAATGAATCGAAATAAAACGATGAACGGAATGGAATTAATAAAATTTAATATTAATAATAATACTGAGAAAATTTAAAAAGTAACCGATCAATTTTCCTCATTTCTGTTAAGTTCCATTCGCGAGAATACCATTTTCTAAATATATTTTTATTTCTTTTTTTTTAATTTTCAATATAAACTTTTTCTCGTTGTTTAAATAATCCTATTGTTTTTAAAAAATGAAATATTTATTTAATAAATTATTTAAATAAAAACATAAAAATGTATCGGAGGATTTTATACAGTAGTTTGATAGATAAGTAACGTCATTTTGCTTAATTCATTGTTGTAACATTCTATAAGGCCGGATTTAGACATAGAAAAATTAGACAATAGTCTAAGGCCCTGATATAGCAGGGCCCCATTAATATTTGAATTCACATATAAATAAATAAATAAATTTACGTGTATAATAGTTAAATATAGGAATATTTTCATCTTCTCCAAAAGAATGTAATGATAAATATAATAAATAAAACCGTGGCTTTTTTGGGGGCCCCAGGATCGCAATTTTTGCTTAGAGCCCGAAATTTCCGTAATCCGGCAATGGTCATTTCGATTTTCTAGATACATCAACATCCACGTCCACGTTGAAGGAGATTGATGGACAATAGATCCTCTCTAAGATGAAGAAGGATCATGCTCTTCTCACACAAAATTACTTACTATACTAAGATTATATAATTCACAAAGGTATATAGAAGCTTTTATACCGTAACCATTTACAAATTAACAATAAATACAATATATATATTTATAAATATAACGATATTAATCACTAATTAGCAATACTGGCAGCTGACTTGATCTTATTGTTATCCTTCCCTTTATATATATATATATCGATTACTGATTAAATTTACTGTTAATAAATGAATAATTTAATATAAAATAAATATAAAACGAATTTATATATTTATTAGTATTACCCGACTAATTTTACAGGCAGTTTTCCAGGTATTCAACCTGCTGTATTCGACTATCTGACAGGTCTTCTCTCAGCATCCCATTTTCTCTTACTCTGTAACCATGGCAACGAGAAGAAGGTTGAGTGGTAATTCTAATAAATATTAGTATAAATATTAGTACAAAGCTATCAGAAATTTAACGAATCTGCAGTTCATGGTTGACAATCAAAATCTATAATGGGGAGAAAAAAAAGAGAGAGAGAGAGAGAGATTGAAAGTGAAATTTATCATTTCATTAAAATGTGTTTAATATATCATTAATCCAATTTAATGAAATAGCTGAATCAATAGAGATTATTGAATAAAGTATAACCATATTAGACATTCTACTCTATCATGTAAAAGTTTACAGAAAATAATCAATGTTAGAAAATGTTTTATAATTAATTTTCATAAATTAATTAACGAACAGTTGCCAATTTTTTCAAGTATTTCACTAATTACTCCATAATTTTTTTTTCATTGTTAAATATATAATAATCGTCTACTAGATTTTATACAATTAAGTTAAAAATACAATTATTTTATTCAGACTTATGAATGAAAATATACTAAATCGATAGGAAGTGTCCGGATATTTCATCTAAAAATCCTTCATTTATATAGAGGCATTAAATTATAAATTAATTTTTTAATTATTAATTCATAATTCTAGAATTTATTTAAAAAAAACACACACACACAAATACCTATTAGATATAATACTAAAGTAGAGTTTTTCATCTAGAAAAGTTATCTAATTTAAATATTTTGTTATAATTTTTAATTATAGATTGAATTTTACAGTGTTAATAGCGGTAGATTAACCATTAGGTCTCTCATAGTCATCTCGAAGGGCATCAAAAATTATATAGCAAAAAGATAATATGCCTCTAAAAATTTAGAAAACGTTTAAAAAGTGTATTTATATTATAAAAGAAAATCTTGATTTTATTGCTTTTTTTTAATATAAAAACTTAACAATTTTACGTAATAAAATTGCGCCTAAGGCCTCATAATCCGTTACTGACTGTTAAATTAGTTTATTGTGAGATGAACTAGTATAAACTACTAAAGTTCAGTGTTTATTAGTTTAGCAAAAGGATAAGTTTAGTTAACTAACACTTAAAGAAAAATTAAATTTACTAGAGATGCTCAAAGCTACACAAGCTTTACATCTATGGATAATAGAAGCATATACTGTAAATTATGTTCTTGCTCAGTATATATTGATCTATGTAGATGTCCTCTCAATTTATGTGCCACATTTACATAGATTTTCTCATCAACTTACTGCCAAATTCATGTAAATGTTCTTCCATACATAAAGTGAGAGAGCGTTTATAAGCACGTATTTCCACGTAGATAATACAAACAAACATTCACATAAATATTCATATTCAAAATTTATTTTATTTTTAGTTTATTACTGTTCACGGCTAAAAAAGTTAAAGAAATATAATATTTTATTAAATTCAGAAAAGAGATTTTAATTTTTATGGATGCAAAAGAACATAATTATACGTATATTAACACTATAGATTTATAGAACATTGAGAAGTCTTCAATTCAATATTTAAAGTGTGAATTTTAGTAAGAAGTTCACTTTTGCACTCGTTCAATTTCATTGAAGTTCATTTTTGCACTCGTTCAAGTTCATTGAAGTTCATTTTTGCACTCGTTCAAGTTCATTGAAGTTCATTTTTGCACTCGTTCAAGTTCATTGAAGTTCA